TCTGGTGAAAGTTCTGTAAGAAGAAAAATGGTTCGGCAAGTTGTCAACCTAGTTTAATTTGACCTAGTTTAATTTGACCTAGAGAACTACTATTGGTTGGCAGCTGCAATATAACCCACATGCCTGACTCTAAGAATCTTTGTTTTCAAAATATTTGTTTTAGTGTGTTTAGTAAAGTGAGAATTAATTACCAATAGTAAAATGTAGGAGTGGCTTATACAAAGCTGGCTATTAAGCACAACTGCTAAACTTAGTCTTTATATACAAAACCTCTATACTTCTAAATGCCAAAGAGTGGTGACGGGGTGGGGGGAGAAGGTAGCCATTGCCATCATGGTAGCCTTTTGTACTCCCAGTGGTATCTACCTAGTCATTACCGGGGCTGGGCTGGAGACACTAGACTAGCTAGCTTTACTCTGATCCATCAGAAGCATTAATATGCTTGCAAATCTTGCAGGTTTTAAGACTGTAAAAGGGGATAACCACACGAGCTTTACCGTTGCAGCAGAAACAATGTAAGGTGTTCCTGAGCTTAAGTAATAGCTATTTCTTTATTACAAGATTCTCTAGAAAGATTTAGAGCTAAATGTTTAGTGATGAGTTAAAATAATCCAATATTCACCTTATATTTTCACGTAGCTTGTTTCTGTGCCCTTGGAATTATAATACAACACTACCCCGTGGTGCAGTGGTTAAACTGCTGTGCTGCAAACACTACCCCGTGGCGCAGTGGTTAAACTGCTGTACTGCAGCCAAAACTGTGCTCACGACCTGGGGTTCAATCCCAGGTAGCCGGCTCAAGGTTGACTCAGCTTTCTATCCTTCCGAGGTTGGTAAAATGAGTACCCAGCTTGCTGGGGGAGGGGCAATGTGTAGCCTGCATAATTACCTTGTAAACCGCCCAGAGAGTGCTTGAAGCACTATGGGGTGGTATATACTGTAAGCAGCACGCTTTGCTTTTTACTTCCTGAAAGCAGTAATAAATTCATTGAATGTGAGTACACCTAAGTACTTGAGCTCAGTAGTTCTGGCATGAAACATTCTGGCAATATACTTTATTGCACTTAAAAACAGCATAAGATTCAACATTTTCTGTGTTATGTGCAGGCTCTAATACTACCCAAAAATCTGTTCACTTTGACTGTGCCAGCCTCTTCCTCATTTGCTTTTCTAAATCTCTCAGTTCATTGTAGTTAATTAATCATTAATCCATATCCATTCCAAGGTTGAGCAATGGTGGAAAAATCAGCAAGGCATGATGCCTTTGCTCAAAAAGAATTTCTCTTTTTTTGTGTACCTTGAAAATTTTCACAATCAATTTTAAACATTAGCTGGCCGTACCACGTCATTTTACTGATACTATGACAAAGAATGAAAGGTAAAATTTATTTGGAACCAGAGTTTGGGTTTCAGTTAAATACTAAGACAAGTAGCAGGAAGACGTTGGGGTTTTGTTTTGTTTTTTCATTTGTAGCACGTTGATTGCGGAATATCTTCCCCAAATAAACTTACCTGGACCCAATCAATTGTTTTTCAAGTGCCAGACTAGGATTATTTTTTAAAAAAATTTCTCAAGCCTTTTAATATGTTTGTATTTTAAGAAGTAACTTCGGTTTTTGCTCTTCTACTCATGATTTTTAAGACAGTTATATATACTTTAGCATTGTTTTGGATTTTAAATTGAACTGTACAACATCTGTTTACAGATTTACACTAGCAGCCTGAGTCACAACAGACCAAAAAGGCCTTGTTTGGTTGTATACATTGTCCTCTCATGTCAGAGGACAGCTTTGTATTGTTATTTGAAAATGTTTAAACTCATTTCTTAGTTAAAAAAAAGAAAAGCTCTAATGGAGGCTTAGAATGATCAGTCTCTGTCCTCAGGTTTACAGTCTACAAGGAAAAAGAATTAGGAAGGAAAAAGAAAAACAGACTTTAGCACAGATTTTTTCAGTTAGAATGTTCTTATAATGACCAGTTGGAATACATAGAGTTTGAGAGGTGGAAAAGAAAGTACGATCCACTCTCTCAGTACTGCCAACCCAGAGGCCTAGCTTCCCTTCTCTGGCTGTGTTGCAACCTGACAGTAAACTTGTCTGACGACAAGAAAAGGAGGGAGAAGCTGGGTATAAAATAGTCCTGCTTTTCTTAATCCCATAGGAAAGTGAGAAGAACCTCTATCTAAAAACCTTCCTGTCACTTGGTAGGTACTACTAGCCTCTGTTAATACATATGCCAGATCATGGATAGTGCAGTTTAGTCGGTTTCAAAAATATTGTATAAAAGTTAATGTGTTAATCTTTTATATTTTATGAACTTCATCCCAATTATTTTTTCTACACCTGACATATTTAAAAAAGTTACAGAAATAATAAATCCCACAGAACTATAAAAGCTGCATCCTAAAATGCATCATGAGAAGAGCATGAACCTGCACATTATTTGAATATCATGTGCTATAAAACAACATCAAGACTAGCAAAATGTTGGTGATAAAACTGATTGCATTCCTGAAAAGCAGCAAAATGTGCTACAAAGCTGGCTACTTTAAGGCAGTAGTCCCCAAACTTTTTTGTCACCGTGGACCAGTAGGGGGAAGCTGGGGCACCTTCCGCACTCGTGCGCATGTGCAAAGGGGCAGGGGAATGCTCATGCGGGTTCGTGCACAGTCATACACATGCGTGAAGGGATGGGGGAGCTTGCACAGGTGCACGCACATGTACTGTACAAAGGGGCAGGGGCACACTCACATGCATGCGTGAAGGGGCTGTGCGGGGGGAGTATGTGCAGAGGGGGATCTGTCTCCGTGGCCCAGTCCACGGACCACATGTTGGGGACCCCTGCTTTAAGGGAAAAGAAAGGGAGAGAGGTGGGCTAAGGCAGAAGAAGGCAGCTGCCACAGATGAGGGAGCTGAGAATAGCTCTTTCTGGGTATAAAGTACTCAGAAGTGGTTTACCAGTACCTTCTTCTGAGGACACTCCAGGATCATGTAGCTTCCCCAAGGCCACACAGGTTGTTAAATCAAACTCCCAACCCCTTGTTCCAACTCATTCAGCCTATCCAGCCAGCTCCCCAACAGATTAGAGCTACTGAATCAATTGCTCAGTGATCGTTTATTTATTTCATTACACCATGCGTTTCTTGCTTTCGGAACCTGTGGCTTACAAATACTGTATCTTTAAAATCAGGTAAAAACAGAAATTCTGCAAGAAATTATATATATACCGTGTTTCCCAGAAAATAAGACAAAAATATTAATTTTTGTTACAAAATGCATTAGGGTTTATTTTCAGGGGATGTTTTATTTTTTTCATGTATAGCAATCCACATTTATTCAAATACAGTCACGCCATCATCTTCTGGTTGCTGCACAATGGTGAAAGGTGGGGTTTCACTTAACTGGTGCTTATTTTTGGGGTAGGGCTTATATTACAAGCACCCTGAAAAATCATACTAGGGCTTATTTTCAGGTTAGGTCTTATTTTTGGGGAAACAGGGTATATAGAGTAGTAAATAAGTTATAGAATGTAAACAAATACAGAATACATTTTAAAAGTATTTACAACCAGTTTACATCATTAACAAAAACATCAATAACAGAAGTGAAACAACTCCCTGTTAATGTCCTAAATGCTGCCCTGTTTAAATAACATGCCTACTGATAGAAGGACTTAAAGCAGAGGCTAATCCAGCATCCATCAGCAGAGATACCAAAGACTGGGGGCAGTCACAGAGCGGGCCTCTCTTGTCCTCATGAGCAGTGCCTGTATGGGTGGTGGGACAGAGGGAGAGACCTCTCCGGATAATTTTAGTAACTGTGGAGGGTCATAACATTTAGGTAAATCCTTGATTCTCTCGGTCCACTTCTATTGAGTTTGGGACTACCAATAGGCTTTAAGCCACTGTGTGCTTTAGCAGTCTGACAGGCTTGTGGATGAGGGTATGCACGGCCATGCATCTCCCCCGTTGCCCAGATTCGACACCTGGTGCAGGTAACTTCTGACGCTCCAGACGCCCCTGGACTGCAACTCCCATCAGCCGCTGGTGCCGCCAGAATTGCTGCCTCACACCACGGCTCAGTTGGCCGCCTCACAGCTGGGCGGTGGTGCTTTCCTTCGCCACCTGCCTCTCTCTCTCTCACCTTGGGCGGTGGCGCTGCTGCCGCCGCCACCTATTTAAAGCAGCGCCACCCCTCGGGGCGGCTGCCGCCTGCTGCGGGCAAACATGGGCGGTGAGCAAAGGGGAACGCGCCGTGGCCCGGTGCCAGCAGGACTAGGCAGGAGAGAAGGCAGGCGGCCGAGGCAGCTGGGGCGGCACGGCCTCAGGTGTTGCTGCTCCCGGTGTTGCAACACCTGAGGCTGCCGCCTTCCTCTCTCTCTCTGACGGCCACATGGGCTCGGCCCCGCGGCCTCGCTTCCCTCCCTTTCTTCAGCGGTGTGCTCCTCGTCCTGGTCCCGTCTTGTCTCCCCTCAGGGGTCGCTCCCACCCCACCTCCCCATTAGCCCACGCTTGTGCAGCTGCTTGTCTCCCCTTCGTAAAACACCGCTAAGCGGGACCCGCCGCTGGGCAGGCGTCGCTCTCCGTCGGGAGGCGAGGAGCAAATGGCAGCCGACGTCAGGCGCGCAGTCAAACGAAGGCGCCTCTTTTTGTCCCACCCCAGGCGGTGGGAGCGCCCCTGACTCACTCGCAGAGGCACACTCCGTCTCCGTCAGGGCAGGGGCAGCGGAGAGAGGACGGCCCGCCGCAGCCCAGCTTTCTACATGGCGTCCCCTCCCTCGTTGCCCCGAGCGGCGCTTCCCATAAAAGCCGAACTTTGGCCGTCACGAAGGGTGGCCAGCCGGGCGCACGGCGAGTCGCGCATCGTCTCCGCCAGGGGGCGGCTTTCCACGCGAGGCGGCGCAAAGGCAGGCAGCCCTCCTAGGGAGCGAGCGAGCGGGCGGGCGGGCGAGCGAGCGAGCGAGAGAGACCCAGCCGTGGTGGTGGCGGTGGCGGTGGGAGGCGCCAGGAGTGGGATGGCTTAGCAGCAACTCCGCTTGGCCACTGGCAGAGCGCTTCCTGGTCTGGCGCCGGGCGACCACAGGTTGGAGCGGGCCCCACCTGCCCGAGGCACCTGTAGGCGTGCTTGAGACCCTTTGGGGGTCGGGTGGCTGCAAAGTGAGCAGGTACCGTCGTGGGGCTGGGAACCTCCGTGCGGGGTTTGCCTGAGGGGAGGGTGCCTCCCAGGAGCCCCGGGAGGTGGCAGGCTGGGGTGTGTGGGGGGGGGGAGGAAAAGGAACAAAGTTCGTCCAAGCGGACCAAAGGGAATCATTTCCTCTTTTGGCCCCTCCTCCGCGGTCCAGGTCCAGGCGGGGGCGGCGGCAGCGGCAGGAGCAGCAGTTTGGGTGGGTGGGGGGTGCGAGATCGGGCAGCGTACCTTCGTTGGCTGCGCTGCGCTTTGCTCCGGTTGGCGTTTGGTCCGCCTCGCCCTCTTAGACCAAGGCGAGCGGCCGGAGCCGAAGCGCCTGCTCGCTCTTTCTGCCCTTTATGGGACTGAGCAGGAGAAGCGCCTTCAAGGAAGAGGGCGAAGAAAGGCTCTGTGCGCCCCGGGCGCGGTTATGGGCGCGCACTCGGAGGGGGGGCGGGGGCGGGAAAGACGGCGATCGGGCGACTAGATGCGCTTGACTAGTGGCGGCTCCTTGCTCGCTCGCCTGCGCAGGTCGTAACGGGAGCCCCGGGACCAGTCCGTCCGACCAGCGCGGGCAGGATTCCTTTGCCACTGCCTTGCTTCCGGGGTGGTGGGCGGAGGGGATATGTTGCCGCCGCCAGTGATACCACCGAAACTGGTGCCCCACGTATGGAGGTGGGTGGGTTTTCCCCCCGTGATCCTTTTATTAGCAGCGCAGACCCGTAAGGACGACCAAGAAAGAGTACTGTGTAAATCCTACAAGACTAACATGCTTTATTTGGCATAAGCTTGTGTGGATTGCAGCCCACTTCAGACCGAAGATCTGAAGCTATTGAAAAGCATGTAAGAGGTCGTGAGCTTTGGGAGTGGTTCTTGACATGATTATGCACCATTAGAATCAATGTGTGTTAGGCACGAACTACCTAACTATATAAATAACAATTAAAGGCTAAGAGTGGCTTATGAAAAGAAATGGAATGAAGCAGAGGAGTGGTAAATGAAACAAGGAGCTTTATATTACTTTTTCTGCTGCACTATATTAAATTTTAATTTTGATGTTTGCTTTAATGATTTCGAGATTTTAAAAGGCTAATTTTAATGTATAATAAATAATACATGTACACCATACTGACAAGGAAAGGAAGATGAAGAATAGTACTGACAATCATAGGCACTCCTGCCCAGGTACTAGTCCTTGGAATTAAGGCCTAAGGAATAGGATGATAGTCCTGGGACTGTTGAGTCAACCCCTTGGAGCAGTGCATGTTGCCTGTCCTTTAAACTGAAGATTTTTTTTTTAGCTTTAATTTTTCATAATGTAATAAGTGCATAATAACTTTGGCTGTAGGAAAGCTGCATGTTATCATGCATTTTTGTATTCAAAATTGATGTATGCAAATAATTACCATTGGCAAATATGTTAAAACGCAATAAACATTTCACTAGTTCTCCCCATTCTAGCTATAAATACTATGCAATCATTTTAACGTATTGTGTGACTGAATATTTTAGAAGCTTTTCTTTAGTGACAGCACAAAACAAAAAGAAAGGGAAAAAAAACTGGAATTGTTTTCCCTCCCAGTTATGTGACCACTTTTTGCAAATGAAATAAATCATATTCTTTACAAAGTGTAATGGCAGGGAAGCAGCATGATACCATATCCTGCAGCTGCAAAATTATGCTCAGCAGTCTTCCCATGAAAAAAATAACAACAAAGTATCCAGTGGTACCTTAAAGGCTAACATATCCATCGTGGCAGATACAGTATCTTGTTTATTCCAAGTCAAGTCATTTTCAGTCCACTTCATCAAGATCAAAATTTCAGGCATATATGCAATGAAAATGGTTGGAGGAGAGTGGAATTGTAGATGGTGAAGTCAACAATTAAATGGATAAAATGATGATAGTGATAATTACACTATTGATACTGACCATTTTCAGACTGATGCTGACAACACAAACAGTTTGCCACCAGATAAGACACTTAATCTTCATTAAAGATGCATCATCCTGATTCAAATCTATGGAGACTGATGCTTTGCAATTCATTTATTCTGCACAGAGACTGGCCTATTTACCTTATGTATTATGTCAGTGACAGAAGAGAGGCCAATAAATGAGTACAATGACACCAGTGTAAAATCAGAAGTGGATTATTAAAAAAAAAACACACAAAAACAGCAGCAGTAGCAGAACATTTCAGCCTGCTGGGACACACTGGGCAACATCCCGTATGTGGGGGTATAATATAAACTGCAGATATATGCAGGCCCTAATTCTCCCCAACAGGGAACAGCACAGTTTCCTTGTGCTGTCTGTCACGCAATTTCCATTGCCGTGTTTGGTTGATACAGCAGTGGAAGTACTTTGTAAATAGCACTTCCATCTTGCACTTCTATAGCTACCACAGAGGTAACATCAAGTTACACCTGCATAGCTAAAAAAGAGAGGATTTTGCCCTCTTGTCACTTACCTTAAACTAGCTGTTGTGGAGCAGAGAAACTTCAAAATGATATCAGAATGACATTATCACTAGAGGTTTGAATCAGGATAAGAGTTCCTTTGTCATCATTTATTAGCAGGCCTTCCTGGGGTTATGTTATCTGCACCAGTTTGGTGAAGAGCAATATTGGTGTAATTGACACTGTCAATACTCTGTGCATTTATTACTCTGACTTTCCTGGCTGCAATCCCACCCCTAATCAAAAGTTTGTGTTATAAACAAATGTGGTAGTCTTTAAGATATCACAAAACATAGAGTTATGATACCTTCAGTTGTGGCTGAATCTACCAGACACAATTCCTTGCTCGTGAATACTATTTGTTTCATTAGCAAAAAGCACTTTTGGTTTAATATGTTAAAAACTTTCAGTGTTCATTCAAGCTTCAAATATTAATTGATTACAGCTGTTAAAGACAATACCATTAGCATCTGTTTACTAAGTACAGTATGGTGTTGTACCATGTGGTCAATTATAACTTCATCATTGCCTTGGAGTTTGAAAGGTGTCCAGAAGAATGGTGGACCTAAACTCGAGATTTGTCACTGGAATAGACATAAACGAATCTAAGCTACTATTTCATGTTACATTTAGTAATATGCTTTTCCCTGTTTCTGAGAATTGCAGCCCACAAACCAGGGTGGATAAAAATCATTGATTTTTTTTAAAAAAAAATCAAATTGATATAAAAAATTGAAAATAAGGTTTTTTAAAATTTAAATCATATTTTTAAATAATTGAATAGTGATTCAAGTCAATTGGACTTAAATTCATCCTGACACAAACCCGAATCAGTACACCTGTGGGTTTCATCTCCCCACCCTCATCCTCAAAAGGGCTTTTGATCTATTTACCCGCAACCTTGGCTTCTCCAGCCTTGCTTCCTGTTGTTGATTTGTAAGGAAGGAGGCTGCCATCGTGCTTTCTGGGAGTTGTAATTTCACTGCCTGTTAGGATTTATAAAAGGTGCCTCCCAAAAATCTATAACTCCCAGGAATTAGCACAGTAGTTCTCTTCTTTGAACAGGATAACATCAAGAAGCAGGAATGGAGAAGCTAATGGTGTGGGTAAATAGTAGAAAGCCTTTTATTTGCTGGCGGGGGGAACAGATGTGTAGATATGGGTTCATGGAATGCAGTTCCTAGAATTCTTCGAGAATTCCAAGATTGTAATCCAAAGATAGAAAAGAGCACTAGCCTAGTTATACAGTGGTACCTCGATTTATGAACTTAACCCGTATTGAAATGGCATTCGTAAGTTGAAACATTCTTAAGTCGAAGCACCATTTCCCATTGAAATGCACGGGAATTGGATTAATCTGTTCCAGCACTTTAAAAAAAATCAAAAATAAAAATAAACAGTGCAAGTCCCATGCTGGGACTGCAAATAAATAAATAAATAAATAAATAAATAAATAATAAAAACAAAACAACACAGCGCAGAAACATAACCCCCCCATCCAAACCCACCCTCCAAAACCCACTCAGAACAGTTTTTTTAAAAAAGAAAAACAGTTCCTTACCAGTTTGAAGCCTCCTCAGCCTCCAGGCACTCCGCTGCCTCTGCTGCAGCGAGGGACAAGCGGCCAAGTGCCCAGCCAGCTCAAGCCTCCTGGTGCTCTGCTGCCACCACCGCGGCCAGGGGCAAGTGGCCAAGTGCTCGGCCAGCTCAAGCCTCCTGCCATTGAGTGACCGCTGCGGCCAATCACAGCAGCAGGGACCCCCGGGAGGTCTCCCAGGGCTTCCCTGCTGCCATCGGAGACCTCCTGGGGGTCCCTTTTCCTAACCATTGGGGCAGAAGAGCAGCCTCTTCGCCACCAACAGTTCGAATGGAACCAGAAAAAGGCAGGGGAAATTTCTCACCCTTTTCCCCTGTCTTTTTTTCATTCGCAAATCGAGGCTTTGTTCGCAACTCGAGGCAACATTTTGTGAACGGAGCCATTCGTACCTCGAAACGTTCGCAAGTGGAGACGTTTGTAAATCGAGGTACCACTGTACATACTCAGCTAGCAACCAAAACCCATTCAAATACAGCATAAAGATAGAGTTCAAATCCTATGCCACATTGCAGAATACAAAATAGCATGAGTTCAAATGTAGACTTCTGCCCCTAAGGAGCTTACGGTTTATTAGAATACAAGAATACTGATGAGAAGACAACAAGTCAAAAAGGCAAGAACACCAAGAAATCACTGTAGAAATCTGAATTATCTTTTCTTTTGTTTTACACAAAGACAGAATAGGATATATGTGTAGCAGTTTTTTTGTTCTTGGTCACTCACAGTGCAGTAGCGATAGCATGTTTTCCTGAAATACTTTTGCCTGTAGTTTTAAAGATTAGATTAATGACTTGTGAAGCTAAATGTTTACCACTGTTCTATTTCTGTCTGCTTTCATTACTGACTATAACATCTTTGTGTACATGTGACGAGAGAAAGTATGAGTGGGCGAGGCAAATGTGTAACTTCCTGTGTGATGTGCTGACTCCATACATGTG